GGCCGCGGGAACATTGTTCGCCGACGATTAATCGGCGCCGCGAGCCGGCTCGCGGAACGAAACTTCGAAAACGCGCCCGCCGCGGGACGGAGCGGGCCGCGGCGAGCGTTTATTGCAGATTTCCGACCTAATTCTCGACGCGAAGAATTCTAATTTGTAGCACGTGTAGAATGTCGCCCGTGTTTCTCGCGGAACGGGGTCGGTGATTTTATCGCGTTTAATAACGAACCGGCCGCAACAGCCATGAAACACCCGTGGTTATTCTGCCTCATTGCCCGACGGGATCGTCCCATGAATACTGAACTTCGAACGACTTTCGGTCTTTCTCTTCCATTTTTCCGCTCTAATCGGAACGTAACTTCGTCGATGATGATCGCGTTTACCGAATGGCCGCTCTTCAACGTCCAGAGGTCCATTAACGTACAGAACTTTTATCATGGGAGTACGTAGCATTACACGGTGAACCGACGACGTTTCCTTTAGGATATCGTAATCTCTGAGCGAACACGAGACGACGATGGTACTCGTGATACTCGTATTCATCGCGTCCCGTACGGTTTTGCTGACGAAGTGGATGGAACCCGTGACGGCGAAATTTTGGAGTATTCGTAATTCGAGAATCAAGAGTTTAATGTCAAATAACGCGGAGCAATTGAGATCGTTATTGCGATCATTAATTGACGGATCGAACCGTTTAGTGTCCAAGTTAAATACGTCATCAATCAATTAAGGCTCACTTGACTATTGGGACAACGTAACTCGTATAAAATACATTGCATTATTTCGTGTAAGAAACGAGGACGCAATTCTTCAACGACTCCTCGATGGAAGCTATCAATTTTTTCGAAATTTCAGCGACAAACACGTGAAGTTCTGCTTGAATTCGTCCAACCTATAGAAACGAATAACTCACTGAATAAACACCTCGATGCCTTAAGATAAAAGGAAACGATAACTGGCTGGAAAAGTAGTTGCGAGGGTAGAAAAGTTACCCTCGCTGTTTCTTATCAATGTTCCACATCCGCAACCCCGAGAAACAACGAAATTACGAATTGGCACCTGAGAAAAATTCCTTTCACTCGAAGTTTCCAAGATCTCGCTCGAAACTGGCGGAAGCGTAATCGTATTGGATCAAGTTTAACAAACCGTACGTCCCGATCGTCTGAAATCGTACAATTTGTATTCAACTGATTCAAAGACAAGTCGGATTCTCCCCGCTGTCCTACAATCAATTCGTTCGGTTCGCGTCGACTATCTACACGATGTATTCCGAGTAATAATCCAGAAAAATGATAGACTTTCCCTCGAGTCGTGCATTCGCGAGGAGGACCTATTGTGTTTAATAAGACGTTGATCAATACCTATCATAAAGAAGACGCGCAAACGACCTCGGGTTCTATCCTGAGGGATGACACGCGATATCTCATGATTCTTATTCTGGAGGACCGCGTAAGAGGATCACAGTAGACGGGCGAAGCGGAAAGGAGCCGGGCTTCATCATTTACGCGGAGTCTAGCTTGCAGCCAACAATCGGGAAGATAAAGAAACGCGTCTGTCAAGGGGGAATCGAGTCGGGAGGGTTTTCTGAAAAATTCATAGATAGAGACAAACTCGAGGGACGAGGAAGACGTACAAAGTCGCGGCCCCCTACTCTTCTCCTGGAACAAACTTCCGTCCCAGATCGCGCTCAACTTCTACCGGGTTTTTCTTCCTAGAGAGCAATCGCGAGATTCTCGCGGGTTCGAATCTCAGCGCTGCTCCGCGGGTGAACCTGCTTCCCTATTTCCGCGTCGGAAGGTTCGACGACAGAGAACCGCGAGAAAACAATGGAACTAGAGTTCGATACCGTTGGATTGGTCAGGACTAGGACAGCGTCGCTCAGGTGTTTCAGGTTCAGCGTCTGCGTGTCTTCGGCGTCCTCGAGCTCCTCGCGTGCCAGCAACGTGGTGACTTCGATGGAGGATTGTCTGGACTTGGCGGCATCGTTGCGGCCGATTCCGCCGATCCTCTGGGCGTCTTCGCCCTCGTCCCCGTTCCCGTCATCGCAGCTCGCGCTGAAGCGTTCGCTCGAGAATGGACATGCCATTTTGCGTCGATCGGCCTCCGAAGAGATCCCAGCCGTCGATTGTTTTTGCGCGGAGGACTGGTCCGGCTCAGGTCCGGGTTCGTGCGAGCGTGGCCGCGGTTAATTGATAAGAGGCGCGTGACACGGCGGCGGCGGGAACGGCACTCTCATGTTTATCAGCGATCAGCTGTGCAGTTGACACAGAGAGCCCCTTCCTCTGTCTCTCCCTCTCTCTGGCTCGATCGTTTCTCGCCACTTGTTCGTCCCCGTGTTCGTCGGCGCGGCCGTTCGTCCCTCGGCGTTCTTTCGTTTCTAGCGGTGCGTGCGAATCCGTTTGCTCCTCTCTGTCCCGTCTGGTCCCGGCGTCGGCCGATCCTCTGGCATCGTTACCTCAGCAGCAGTGCCGGACGAGACACCTGCCGCAGCTACCATCCGCCCTCGTGTCGCAGGCCGCGGCTAACGACGCTATCATTTCACTTATTACTGGCGCGCGCTTATCGCAGTCCGTGTTACCGCAACGCAATCAGCACTTACCACCCGGCGTCCTCTGCGATCTCACCGGGTCAGCCAGCGGTGCACGCGGTTACATATTATCCCCGAACCAGAAAGATCAATCGGCTGTCTCTCTCTCTCCCATCGGCTCTCGTTCCCTCTGTCCCTCCTTCCGGGTGTCTGACTCTTCGACAACAATAAACGGCTTCCGTCTTTCTTTCCACGGAATTGTCGGAACGGTAACGTCGCCTCGCGCACTTCTCCCGGGCACCGATCGCGGACGAGCCTGCGAGACGCGATGGGCGGCTGGCGAAAAATTCGCGCGCGTTTTTCGAGATTTCGGGTAGCGTAATCGCGGTGCACGAACCGCCGTCGATTGGCAAGCGCGCTACGTACGTTGCTGTGTCGGAGCGCGTAGCGCCATACTAGTCGCGGATTGACCGAGGCGCAGCGAGCAGCGCCGAGTCGCCGTTTCCTGGGCGAGGGGCGGCCGACGCGAGGGACGCGGCGAGCTGGATACCCGAGGGGGTGTCGAGGAGCGCCGAGGCGCCATGATGAACGCCGGTGGAAACGCCTGCGCGAATTTTCAGCCCCTCTCGACCCGCCGAGTGGGAGAGAGAGGCCGGCTTTTTCTCTTTGCATGCAGCTCTTTCAACCGCAAACGAAAACCTGCTCGCTATGCCCTACTTGCCTGCCTATGTGCCTGCCAGGTTGCCTGCTCCCCCTGCGCCTGCTTGCTCCTCAATCCTCTATTTCGCCGATCGATGCCCCAACTAGCGCGCGAATCTCGCAGGAACCCGTGTATTCTTCTCGCGGTCCGACTCCCGACCCCATCGAGCCCCGCGTTAGTCCCATTGACAGGCTCGAGCCCGGCTGTCGATGGAATTCGCTGCCGCCTGTGTTCTTCGCGCGCTGCGAGGGGCGCCCGCACGTAAGAGCCGCCTCCGACCGCTTGCCAGCTCGCCTTGTCCTTTGCGACAAAGCGTGTTCGCTCGAAAATAGTCCCCGTGTTGTCGTTGCCTCGGCGTCTTTGGCGTGCCCGCGCCGGGTCAGGAAGTTTATTGATAGGTGATCTGGGTCACGGACTCCGGGAAGGGTCTTTGAAGTGCCTTTCTTCGGCAGGCTATGGCTCGGAAGTTGCTCCAGGTTCGAGCGGTCCTTTGGTTTTTTTACGCGGCCCGCTCGGATTCGTCTATCGACGCTGGGGAAGACTAACGGCCGCGAGGCAGACGTCTTCGTTCGCCTCGCGGCTCGAGTTTCCGGCGCTGTTCCCCGGCCGTTCGCAACAATTTACGACAGCGCGGAAACGGAAACGTTCCGAAACAGCCAATTTAACGAATTCTATCGTAGAAGCCAAGAAAATAGAATGCCGCGGAACGGGTATCTAAAATCTGGCTCGTTTGAATAATCTCGGCGAGTATCATGCATACAAAGAGACCTTTGTTCGGTAACGTCATCCCGGTCCAATCTTAAGTTTCCATTTTACCTCCGCGGGATCGCGTTTCTTTCTCCTCCCTCGTAAATAATACAGACACTATCGCCGGCCGAAGTTCGTCGAATCGTTCGAAATCGAGATCCGCCGTCGCTGTGGAAGTAATAACGCTCTCAGCGTCGCCTATTTCTTCCGCGGGTATCTTGGAGTCCCGCTGGCTCCCGCGGGGGAGTACATACCTAGTTTCTTCTCGTCGTACATACTTAACGACGGAGCCCGGGGAAAGAACTGTAGCCTCGCTCCCCCGGAAAGCGGCGCGTTAAAACGGCGGATTCTTTGTGACCGTAATAACTCTGTCCCGTCGTCACCTTGAGCGCGGGCAGTCTTCATCTTCAGCCAGGTGGCGGAGATGGAATGGAGATTCCCGCGCGTTCTGTTTCCTCGGTTCCCGCGCCAGCCGCGCGACACTCCGTCGCGAGGGAAGAGGAACGCCGGAAAGGGACCGTTAAGGAGGACGGAGGGTTCGTCGCGTCATCGAAACGCGCCGCCGTTTTTCCCTTGGTCCGCCGCGTCGCCGGGGACTCGCAATCTACGTTAATTTGACGAGAATGACTATTGGGGCCTGCAATCGACGCGAGTGCTTCTGAATATCGCTCGAGGGATTCCTCGGTCGGACGAGGAAATCAAATATCTTGCGAGCGGAATGAACCCAACTCTCCCGGACCCGCTAATGGAATCCACCGATGGTCAAACAATTTTCGGCAACGCGGAACGAAACCTCGCGCGTGCCCGCGGCCCTCCGCCGCCACTTAATTTCCTGCCGTCCGACGCGGCGCGACGCGACGCTGGAAAAGGGACGTCCCGCGATACTACGTTGAATTCTCTGAGAATTTATTTGCCTGATTAGCTGCCGTCATCATCGCGCTGGCGTCCCGAAATGTAACCTAGATTCAATAATTTAGCGGCTGCCAGAGGTACCGTGAACTTCCGGAACTGTTGATTTATTATTATACGCCCGAGCTGGATAAGAAGTCTGCGAAGACGAGCAGCCACCGTTGGATATTTCCCGGAAAGAAGGGAAGCTTCTTCCCTGTAACTTCTGTGAACATTCCGGCACATTGTTCTTTGGTGGAATACCAATTCCGTTGCAAATTCGCGCGCATCTTCTTTACAATCTTTTTCAACTGGGATCCATGAAATTACTTCGTCTTAAATGAAAAGAATAAATACTGATATCTAATTTAAATTCAAAAGAATCCTGCAACGTTCGTGCTTGGTGAATGATATTTAACATCTTCATTACGGGTTTGACACGTTATTACGAAGGTGGCTAATCTCACGGGTACAAATGTTCATCAGTTCAATTGCTCGTCACTTACAACGTTACGAGATCGATCAAGCGAAAAGTAGATATAACGTTGTTCGACTCTATGAACTCGTTGAAAGCTGCAGCTAAACGCTGAAGATCGCGCGATGCTTGAAACTTTATTTAATAGTTCGCTTTCCCCAAAGGAAGGAAATAATGACTTCTTAAAGTACTTACAAGTGTGACGGAACTTTCCCCTGTAAGAGGGCATCCGCTTATATTTGCCGTGAACTCGTCGCAGCAAGTCATTTGCAATATTAAATGAGCATCCGCCGTTATTCGATTAATCATTCGCAATATGAATTCATCGCTGGAACGATGTACGAATTTATATCGACGTTCTGTCTGCTGAAAATAATTGTTATATATATTCTAATGGAATCCTTCAACGGAATGCCACCGCCAAAAATTAGTTCAATATTTGAAGTCAACCGACCGATATACATTTCAATATCCGCGGTCGAATAATTCATTGCGCGGATAGCGAAACACCACAGTGTTCCGCTTATTCTACCGTGAATTCCTCGTTCTACTTGAGACTGTAACATCCCCGGAACCTGTCGAGTTCCTTGGAGGATTCCTGGCAACCGTGCGACGAAATTCAGCTCGGCTTGCTTCATTTTTCCCGGAGCAAACATCCAGCCGCGCACGGTACACAGATTTGTATAAATCGTCACGCGAATAGCGCCGAAATGGTGACAGCATTGTAGGTTCTCCGTCGTGTTTTCATGTCACGTATGCCGCTATATACGCTCGTACTACTTGAGCTTCGCGTAGCGCTGCGGGATCGATGTAGCCTAATTAGCGGACACCAATTTTTGTTGCGTTCCCGAGGAATCCTGCAATTGGGTGCCGCCGTCGCTCGTCCCGAACTCGCGCCGGGAATTTCGGGTTAGAAAGAGTTTTTATAGTTTGTTATGCTGCGTCGGACGAAAGTTAGATCCGCGAGCGGACAATAGGTTCGCGCGACCGATACGATTAACGGGAACAATATTGTTCCGTCGAGACGCGAACAGCACTTTAAAAGCGAACCAAAAACGCGGCGAGAATAACAATGCGAATGCGCCGCTCGCAGATCTGGATCACCGTTCTTTACCATTTTTCGGCTATTTATTACACCGTCGAAGCTACGCTCTCCAACGACGCGACCGTGGCGAACAAATTCCAGTGACACCACGCGACTTCCAATTCGACGCGTACATGAATTGTAAAACAGAGCAACTTTATTTTTCGCCGATGATCGGGGGAACCGTAACTCGACGTTATTATCGTCGTATATTCATTGCCCGTTTAATATCGGCGAATATTTCAGCGACAGAATTTACGATGAATTTCACGCAGGTTAAATTATGCAAGTGCATCGCGAGTTAATTTGAGGCGGGCGCGCGATGTCGCGGTGAAACATTTAATTTTTCCGCGGCACAACGGAGGTCGGCCGTGGATAGGGAACGAGAGCTACCTGTTAATTTAATTAAGAAAGCTAATATTTCACGAACAGACGCGCTCTTGAGGACGACGGGCGAGTCGGTCGACTGGCGGCTCGCGGTAAACAACGGCTAGTACAATAATCTCTCGCGCGAACGGGCCCGGAGGGGAGTGTAACGGCGTGTATGGTAGTAAACGTAGAAATTTGCGGCCGAGTGAACGGCGGGACGCGAGTGCTTTAATTGCGCGGGCCGCCTGTAACGGAAACCCTTTGTCTCGATCATCTAAACAGGCCTCGCCGCGGCTGAAACGCCGGAAATTTCGAGCGGGCTGTGAGCTCCTATCGGAAAAATGCTGGGTAAACTTCCCGATAGTGTCCATTCTTCTTCGACACCGATAAAAGACCGAATCCCGGCGAATTGCGGCGGTGTTCCTGCGAAAGTTCGGGGATGAAACGGCCGATTACACCGCGGCGAACGGTGCCCCGGAGAATTATTAACCGCTCGGCAAATCCTCAAACGCGATCGCGACGTGACGCGGGGGGAACGGGAATCGCGGAAGCAAATGTCCCGTGAACGCCCGTGATCCACTGCACCCGTGCATTTGTCGAACCGATCGCCGCGGTTGCTTCTTGATGCGTTCAGAACGGCTTTCGATTCGGTTTGATGGTAGACAGTGTAAACGCCCGGAAAAAAGAAGGTAAATGGGGGCGAAGGAAGAGATATTTCGAATGCAACGAATAAGTATTATTTAACCCTTCGCGCTCGGAAGTTTCTTACGAGAAATGATATTCTTTGAGACTAACTCGAAGAGAAATCAGCATATTGAGGAACAAAGCTATTTTATTCTAATATTTCACGTATCGAGGCGTTAAACAAAGTTCAGCATTAAATATCGGATTCCACAGTTTTACTGTGTCAGATCAAGCGATGACTGAGTCATCTCCCGAGTTAAAGATACCACTTTGGAGAATACTACGTCAATCGCAGCTGTAAGATGAATAATCTGTATGTCTGTAGATGTCGACGAAATTATTAGATGCAGACTCGCAAGACTTCGTCGTGGTGCTTTATCTGCCAAACATTTGCGGCGACAGAATAGGGAAAGAGTAAAGTTAATTCGACTTGGATTGGACTGCGTTGGGAGCAGCTGAATTGTACCAGCACTAAATTCCTGAACTGGAACAGTCCTCGGGAGTGCAAAACTTAAAAGATAGTTCTGCATTTTATCCCTC